ACCAGACCCAACTCTGGCAGTCAGAGCAGAAACAGGGAATTGGTGAGCTGAGCCAGAGGGCTGGAAATGAAAGATCTCAGTACAGAGCTGTTAACTTAGGTAGTGTCCAGAGCAGACCGAGGAGATTACATCTACAATAGGAGCACAGTCCCCATCCACCATCTCCTGAAACACTTTTTTTGCATCTGGATTTTTGTCATGCTCCGGGGTAGACACTTCCTTGCCTTCCTCGCCTGATACTACCTTCTGGTAGCAAGGAGATTTGGCTTCCCACAGATTTGGCTACAGTAGGAATAGGGCTCACTGCTATGTCTCTGCTCATTTAGCGCCCAGGGTTTTCATTATGCTGGTTTGCTTCATGTAGATACTTCAGCTTGGCCCTTAGTGGGTACGATGGCCATGGATGTTGTTGAGCTATATGTCACCTATCATAGCTACAGGGGTGGTATGAGCTTTAAAATGGAAAGTTACTTTTCTCATTTCCTGGAAAGAATGGTTTGATGAAATTTTGGCATTTGATAAGAATGGTTAAAAAACCACAACATTTTATTTTATCTCAAAAGTGGCAATTAATATAGAAATAGATGCTGGCAAAACTGGAGGTCCTTTATACAATATTGCCATAATAATTATCTCCTGAAAGAGTACATTTTTAATTTTTCTCTGAATAAATATTATACTTACATTTACTTATGTAACATTGTGATACAAAGTTATTTTGGGGGTAGTTTTGTTGATTATTGATAATAATTCTTAAATAAATAAGCTTTTTTTAAAAAAAATGTTTTAAAAGTTCTTCTCTAACTTTGTTTTTTAATGCCAGTGCAGGGCACAGAATAATAATAAAAAAACCCCATCACTTAAATATGCTAGAAAGGGCACAGATAGTTCCAATATACAACAATCATCTTGGATAGGATGGGAACACAAGCTCTTGCCTGTGAGGCATGAGATCAGCTTCTGCAAAAAAAAGGTGTGCAACTTCTTCAAACCTCCCTCTTCTGATTGATTTTAAGAAGTTTTCCATCTCTAGCTGCCACTATCCAACTTTAGGTCCATGAGACAAAGGGGGAAATTGGGGAATAAGACAAGGCTTTAATATTGGGAAGGAGGTGGTTAGTGGGCCAAGTGAGTCATTGATGTGAAGAGGGACTTGAGGTGGCCTTAGGACCATTGCTGATTCCTCCAGATCCTTGGTAGTCCTGGATTTCTCTACAGGGCCCCACATCTTTCCCTCAGAAGACTTCTCCCCAGCCTCTGTGTCCCACAGCATCCTGAGAGTTCCCAGCTCTGGAGTAAATCATGGATAAAAATGTTGATCTGAGAAATGACAAAGCCCTGAGCCACTTCACTGCAAATTTATCTCAAGTCTGATTTACCTCCAGGATCAGCCCTGTTTCCAATGAGCTGTAAATAAACCTGACTGCATTTAACCAGTTGGCTATCCAAAATATCACAGGCCATGTTTTCAAAATCATGATATTGTGCCACAACTCTGAACTATCTGTACTTGCATGCACGCAGCTTACCTGTGGAGTCTTGTAGATGGCTGAAATGACGGCCACATTGGCAGAGATTTCAGAGATACACCCTCCAATGAGAGCTATCAGGTTGTTGTGGTTGTGACACTTGAAGTTGGGGACAAAGCGACGTTGTGCAGAAAAGAGGCTGAGGGTGGCCTTATAGGTTGTCTTTGCAGTGTAGTAGCTATTGAGGGTGTGAAATCCCAGCGAGAGATTTGATAAAATGTTGGGATTTTCATTTATCTCTTTGACAGCAAATGCCAAGGCCAGGATGTGCTGGTAGTTCTTTGGCACTGAACTGTAATAAAAGTAGTAGATGAGTAGTACAAATACTGAGAGAAGCAAGAAAAAAATATGTGTCCTCTTCATCTCTCAACTCATCTTTCAGTTATTACAATCAAACAATAAATAAGATGAAATTGCATCAAGTAAGTAAGAAGGGATTATTTATTATCTGGATATAGCAAGGTAACGGAAGAGTGTCTCCCACTCCGTGATGAAATCAGAGAAGACAGCAAGTGAGAGGTACAACTGGAAGCCTCTTTTTAGTCTATATATTTGCAAACAGTGTAATACAATATGTCTTATGACCAATTTAAAAATTACATGCGCACACACCCCATCATATATTACCTCTACCTATTTAAATGCACCAAAAGAGGCATTCAGAGAATATTTCCAAATTCTCCTCTCATACGCATACTCTCATCAGATTTGATTGTGGGTCCAGTATATTTACAGTTGCAGCAACTGAGTGGAACTGGTCATATGTAATCTGGAGTGGGATGAAGGAAGGGCAGGATGAAATCAAGAGGAAGGATGGAATAGGGTGACATGCCTGGACCAAAATAATATGAAATGAAAGTTTAAAAGACCAGGTGACTGAAAGACAAAGGGATGGGATACAGATGAAGGCCAAGGATGTAGGGAACAAAGAGTAAGAAGGAGTAGTGTGGAGAAAAACAAATACATGCAAATTCCTCCACCTAGAGTCTGCGAAAGCCCAATGGAAGTACTGAAGAACCTTACACTTCAATGACACTTGTGTGAGAAAACTTACTAATGCTTTGTGCTAACAGTATAATGCGGAAGGCTAAATAGATATGAACAAGCTTCTGACATGACACTTTTCTCACTCCAAAAATGAACCCTTTTCCTTAAAGACATATTCCCAGTAATTATATTCTGAACATACGTTGCAACAAGTGTGTGTGTGTGTGTGTGTGTGTGTTTGTTTATGAGAGAGAGAGAGAGAGAGAGAGAGAGAGAGAGAGAGAGAGAGACTTACATGGGCTCATCAATCACAATCTGTGTCGGCTGTTCCATGAAAGAGAGGAGATTGTAGAGCAAGAAGACCTGAGAAACAATTTCACTGATGACCAGGTCTCCTGGCAGGTAAAACTCATGAGGAATAGGGAGGGGATCGTCACGTATGCTGCAATTCATGGAATATGCCTGACAAACACTATGACACAGCAGCACAAGCAGCAACATCACAACCAGCAGGATCCTTCTGTGGAAAGGGTCTTCCCACGAAAAGCAGCTTCCCATGTTTCCCTCTGCAGAATTGCATGTGGCTTTGATCAGGACTGATTTCAGCAGGAGCTAGCTTTCATGAAAATAATCTGGATCAAATCATTTTTCTGTTGACTTTATTCTTTGGTGGTGAGTGGTAATTACTTTTTAAAAAGGGGAAATACCTCATATACTGCTAAAGTTATCAATGCCCTGATGTGAAAGCAGGCAGAAAGGGTGAAACTCTGCAAATCAGTTTGTGCAAAGGAACAGAAATAATGCCAAAACAGGATTTCAAATAAAATCTGGGAAGTGGAAGATACAGCAGCCAAAGAGAAATGCATCAACATATGAAGCGGGAATGATGATTAATGAATTATACAGAATCTTGCCTATCTCTTGTTCTAAAAAATATGAGGCTTTTGTAACTTCTTTCAGAAACTGATGGTTGATGCGCTAAAGATCCCTGGAAGCACTTTTTGTTCTCAGTCGGATGGAAACCAGCAATTCTGGTAATGATAGGGGTGACTACCTATTCCCCAGGGTGCCCCTTGTTTTTGAAGTTGCATTCTTTTTGAACCTGTGAGGACTCCACCCACTTCGCCTCCCTGGAGTCCTGCAACTCATATTTTCTCTTTTGAAGAGTAGTTAGGAATATGTGACACGTAGCTCAGTAGGTCCAAGCTGCCTCTGCTCAAGTTAGAGTAAATTTAACTACACATCCCTGATATTAGGCATTGCCCAACAATTCTTTGTTTTTGCTATAATGTGAAAGCCCAGATTTTAAGGTAGAATCACAGTCTGGGGAAATTTGAGGTTCAATTCAATGGGGAAATTTGAGGCCCAGTTTCATCATGATGTTGGGAACATCTCCTTTAACAAATCTGTTCTAATATTGTTTGCCTATAATATCATATGGTCAAAAGAATTCATTTATGTAGTATTAGTAATATTAATGATGTAATAAAAATGGGGGTCAAAAAGTCTGGGGCCTAAGCATCTTTGAATCTATATTTTGACCATATTCAGGTGTCTGGAAAGGGGTTTATCAGCTGGATTTTCAAAACCCATTAAAAAATATCTTCAGGACCTACAAAACTCAATACAGTGACATGTGATGACTCTATTAGTTTTTCAGTCTAGATTCCTTCTCAACTTTGCTACTCCAAATCCCCTGGGATGTCATAGGAGAGCCTGCATATGCTGAGGGAACAAGAAAACTCTTTCTCTGCAGTCATCTGTGGAGATACCATCATCCAGCCTGGACATTGAGGTCCACCTCCAAAGGCCTTCTGATGGGTCCCTGACTGCAAGAAGTGAGGTTACAGGGAACCAGGGCTTCTTGGCAGTGGTGCCCTCTCTGTGGAATGCCCTCGCATCGGATGTCAACGAGATCAACAACTATTTGACTTTTAGAAGACATTTGAAGGCTGCCATGTTCAGGGAAGTTTTTTATGGTTGATGTTTCATTGTATTTTAAAAAATTTAATGGGAGCTGCCGAGTATGGCTGGGGTAACCTAGTCAGATGGAAAGCATATATGATAATCGTGATGATGATGATGATGAAAAAAGGAAGCCATCCAGACTGGTGTTTTATTGTAGGGTTATTTTGTAACACTTTCTGTAATAGTGCATTATTTGTATCTCTATTCTGCTTCAGTGTGTTCTGGGACACTTTGCCTGTGCAACCAAATTATTGCAGTAGTGCAAGCAAAACAGGACACAAATATACCAAAACATTTATGGAATAATAGGTTGCAGGAAATTATGTGATATGCACTGATTGGAAGTGAAGCTATGACCACCTGAAATATTTTGTGGACATGATGAGCATAAATCATCAAGATGTCTGGGTGGGCCAAGAAATATGAATACAACAGAGAGGAAAAGAGACGAGACACAAATTTATCAAAGATCATGATATTTCTCCATTTAATGTCAGTGAAGGATATGCCCATTATTTATTTTCTTCCCCTTATTAGGCTTTCCTTGTTGTTCAGGTCAGACCTCAGCACAATGATGTAGCATTTAGGGGAAAAGATGCAACCCAGTAACCCAGCACTGGAGGACAAGATGGAGAAGACCTCCACGGCTACCATGTATTTCCCTTTGGTGCTCAGGTAGGTTGGAACAAAGGTCAGCCAAACACTGCAGAAAACCAACATGCTAAACGTGATAAATTTGGCCTCGTTAAAACTGTCAGGTAACTTTCTGGCCAGGAAAGCCACAAGGAAACTCACAATGGCCAGAAAACCCATATAGCCCAAAGCACAATAGAACATGGCAGCTGAACCCTCATTGCACTCCAGGATGATCTCACTCTTCAGTGACTGCACGTCTGTATCTGGGAATGGAGGGGAAGCACTTAGCCAAAGGGTGCAAATGCCAGCTTGAAGGAAAGAGCAGGAAAAGACCACACAATTGGCCAGCCCCTTCCCCACCCATCTCCTCATTCTGGATCCGGGCTTGGTTGCCATGAATGCTAGAACCACGGTGATGGTTTTGGCCAGAATACTGGAAAGGGCCACCGAGAAGACGATGCTGAAAGTCATTTGTCGGAAGAGGCAGGTCCCTTTTCCAGGCTGACCAATGAAGAGCAAGGAGCAGAGGAAGCAGAGAAGAAGGGAGATGAGGAGGAGGTAGGTGAGGCTGCGGTTGTTGGCTTTGACGATGGGAGTGTCCTTGTGCTTCACAAACGTCGCCAGCACAAAGGTGGTGATCAGGGAGAAAGCCAGAGCGGAGACAGCTAAGCTGAGCCCTAACTTTTCTTGGTAGGAGAGGTAGCTCAGCCCCCTTGGAATACACCCTGTTTGGTCCTGGTTTGGGTAGTTTTCTTCTGCGCACTTGACACAGGCATCCATATCTGGAGGGTGGAGGGGGAGAAGATGGAAGAATTAAAAATGTCAAGATAATGACCTACATCTACCTGAAAGAATCAGTTACGGCAGGCAGTGAAATTCCTCTCCTCCCTCTCCCTTTCCCCTTTCTTTTGCTTTCTGTTATATATTGGGTGTAACACATTTTATGTTAGAAGGCGCGTTCTAACCAATCGTATAAGCGTTGGTAGAAGAACGGTCTAATGGCATGTAAACACATGCACTTTCAACTGTCAACTGTCAACAGTCAGTTCATGCTCAGCACTATTTTTGTGTTGTCCAGTCAGTTCGGTTCTTGTTTACCTATGAGTGAGCTGTTGTCATTGACAAATGTTAAATAAACGTAGTTGAGGAACTTATACTGCCTTGGGCTTCTGCCTTTTTCCAAACATTTAACACTTTCTTTGGGTTTCCTTTGCTCTGGGATGTTGTTGGGGGATTGTGCACACATGGGGGGCAAATAGTTGGTGGGAGGACCCTGAGTGAGAGGCAGGGAAGGGAAAACCTCCCAAGGTGAGGGACTGGGAAAACAAAAGCTCTCAGGTGAGAGCTAGAAGGGGCCCCCACTTCCTGAGTGAGACCAGAGTCAAGAGCAGCTTTGGAGGGAGGACTCTGCATTCTAGTTCTAGCTATGTTTTTATGTAGAGTGGCTTCTTTTGTCTTGTTGTATTGTGAAAAAGCCTTGATAAAATCTTATTTTAAAAAGAAATGAAAGTGCTTTTTGTGTTCATGTCGTTCTTTGACCAACCAAAGGATACTCATGATTTCAGTGAGAAAGTCTGGATGATGCTGAACTGGTCTACTAGATAGTTTTTCCATGAAATAGTAAATTCTGCTCTCGTTGAAAACCATGAATGCACTAGGCTGTTGTCTTATTCCAATACTCTATTATGATTATGATTATGATTTTGTTGTGACTGTTCCTGTTGTTGTTGAAAGTTTCCATAAATTTAACTTTATTCCAAAGGGGAAAGGAAAGTTTGGTGAAATTTCTCTGAGTGTTGTGCAGGACTTTTGTTGCACATATTTATTTTTCTGGTTGCTGGGGTTTTTAGATGTGCTTTCCTTTATTCTACAACCCTTCCCACATACCCATGCTTCCTGAATACCCATGATACCCTCAGCTGAGCTTTATTTGAGATACCCCATGATTCACCTGGCAGCTGTTCATTTGATTGAAATATTTTTACTTCCAAAGAAACCAGAAATACATTTCTTAAGGTAAAAGGAAGAACTTGTTTTTAACATACAGCCTGTTAACATTTCCAAGCACTTAGCATTCAAAGCCAGGAGAAGATGTCATGACAAAAGATCTTTTCAAATAAGGAATTGAGAGCAACCAGGGAGACTGAAGGAAATGGTAGAAATATTTAGTGGGCTTAAAAGAAGACCTACACACCCCAGACCCATGGCCATGGAAGGTGGGAACTAGCATCATAATTTCTCTTCCAGGATTGTCCTATGATTTATTGGGGTAAACAATACTTGCCAAGTATAATTTGTTAAATGTGTTCATGTTGAGTAGCGTCACCTATTTTTCTAGAAAAAAAGTATTGCTCCTACCCTTCTGGTTAGAGATGGTCCCTTCTGGACATGGAACACAATCATAGCAGCAGAATTTCTCTCCCTCCTTCTTTTTCCTGCTGTAGCCAGGATAGCAGTTGTCATTGCATAGAGAAACAGGCAGCATCTGCACCAAAAGATGAAAGGAAGATTAGCAAGAGCATATTATCCATCATTCGAATGTCGCATGATTAGGATTATGTGCTGAGAATAGTGAGCATGGAGCAGTCAGCTGTTCCAGCTTTCCTCCACATGTTGAGGGCTGGATATCTGTAGCAGGGAGTGTCCTCTACATTTATGCATTTTCAGAACAGTTTTAGGACCCTGCATTCAGAGCTCAACACCCGGAGGGAGACAGGGATGGTCCTGATGGAGAGGCGACAGTCAACATCTCCCCCTGTCAGATCACTCCACTTGTGTGAGGAGCGAACGCCTGAAGAGGGCTGGACTACCCTAAGAATGAAAGATAGTGGCATGCTGAGTCCCAAGGATGTGGAATCCTAGCTGGGTTCAGAAGGAAGCCTGGGCTGATCTGAATAAAGCATTGCAGAAAGGTTTATGGAGGCGAATCATATTCTCTGCCTCTTTCCAATGTCGTAGCTCAGCTGCCACCTGTGCACTGAACAAATGCCACCCCAGAGTGAGATGTGAAGGACTGCCATCCTTTCTCCATCACATTATTCTCCAGTATTTGTGCCCTTGTCTTCATAGCCGGTTAAGGAGCCAATGGCCTATAGATAGCAGATGCTCATGGAGCCTGGCAGCTGTGAGCCCAGAACCATGAGAGACAGCCAGGAAGTCATGGGCCCACACATCATCTGGGCTGTGGACAGATATAGCCTTTCTGAGCACCCCTCAGCATCCCAGAACAGAATCCCTTGGTGGCTCTGTGGGGCTCAGATGCTTTGGCACCCAGAGGCCCCTTGATCTGATGGAGATGGTGCAGAGGACCAATCGTACCTGCCAAAGCAATCAGTCCATGTTTTGCAACTATACTAGGGGAAATTGAGGAAAGGGGTAGGGTTTTCCTTTTTTTAACGATAATAAAAATATTTTTGGTAACAGGGAAATATTCCTCAATTGAACCATGTTGCTTCTGTCCAGAGAGAGTTTAAATAGAACAAATGCATCTGAATTGATGAGGCCCAAAGCTTAGCAAATATCTTTTTATTGACACCTAATGAGAATTAAAGATGGGCAGATTAAGGTGGTGCTTCCGCTGTATCTTACTCACTTTGGGTTGGGTTGGGCCAGGGGGGTATTGTTTTTGCTTGTTACTTTGGTGTTACAAAGGAAGGGCAGTATAGAAATGTAACAAATAATAATATTCATTCCTGGGGAGAAAATGCCAGGATGGGAGGCGGGGGGATGTGGCCATGTAGGTGCTTCTCTTCATGCCTCAGGTTTCATCCCAAGTCATGCTTTCCATGTTCCCCCCACCAGCCCTGCTCTGCGCCTCCTCAAGCTCTTCTGCTTGGCTAGAATGTGCCCCTGAACAGCAATCATCTATCTTGCTTGCCTCTGTGGAGAACAGAGAGAACTACTGGGATGTATCCAGAAGCCTCTGTGTTTGGAATTGCAGGAATGTAGCCTATTCAACACAGGCCAGAGTCACGCCTGCTATTTCACCCTCTTTGGGCGCAGTCTCTTCCCTCTTCCCCACCCACCTCTGGCGTATGATCCCTGGATGGTTTCCCCTAAGAGAATGGGGGCAAAGGGCTGAAAAAGATTCTGAGCTCCTGGTTTAACTGGCTTTGTTAATAAGGAGATAGACTTCAGCATGGCCATGAGTGAATATGGAAAATGGATGACTAGCATCATGCCCAGAATATGGAAATATCCAGCGAATGGACATTCTCTCTGGATACCCCACACCAGAAATCAAGCAATTAAAGAAAAGATTATGTGGGATTTTACCAAAATTAAATCTGGAACACAATAAGGAATTTCCAAAAATTTTGAAGCCGATCTCAATACCTGTCCTTCAGGCTTCAGCTCCCAGATACTGGTGCATTTTATTACACTTCCCATCCTCCTTGATTATTGGCTAACCCGCCTGATGAGGATGGGAGTTGTAGTCCAACAACCTTTGGGACCCAAGGTTGATTTTCATGGCAGTATCTGGTCTCACACACAGCTATGTCTCACCTGATTAAAGCTTTCATGCCACGCAATCTGATCATCATGAATGGTTAACTCCCTGCCGAAAGAAGCCTGAGGGTTCAGTTTTCCAACTTTGGCTCTAATCACCGAACCATTGGGGTAAATCCTCCAGTTTGTTACATCGAAACCTACAACTAATTCCGCATTTTCATTGAAGTGCACACTATCTCCAGCACTGTTATTGAAAACGATGCTCCGTAGAAAACGATGGACCTGGATTGAAGGAGAAGAAAAAAGGACAACCATTTCACAAAGGGACATATGTTGCTGCACTAGAACTTCTAGTGCAGGACAGGATCACACTTCAAAACGACCTTGACAGATGAGAGAACTGGGCCAAAACAAACAAGATGAACTTTAACAGGGAGAAATGTAAAGTATTGCACTTGGGCAAAAAAAATGAGAGGCACAAATACAAGATGGGGGACACCTGGCTTGAGAGCAGTACATGTGAAAAGGATCTAGGAGTCTTGGTTGACTACAAACTTGACATGAGCCAACAGTGTGACGCGGCAGCTAAAAAAGCCAATGCAATTCTGAGCTGCATCAATAGGAGTATAGCATCTAGATCAAGGGAAGTAATAGTGCCACTGTATGCTGCTCTGGTCAGACCTCACCTGGAGTACTGTGTCCAGTACTGGGCACCACAGTTCAAGAAGGACACTGACAAACTGGAACGTGTCCAGAGGAGGGCAACCAAAATGGTCAAAGTCCTGGAAATGATGCCTTATGAGGAACGGCTAAGGGAGCTGGGCATGTTTAGCCTGGAGAAGAGGAGGTTAAGGGGTGATATGATAGCCATGTTCAAATATATAAAAGGATGTCACATAGAGGAGGGAGAAAGGTTGTTTTCTGCTGCTCCAGAGAAGCGGACACGGAGCAATGGATCCAAACTACAAGAAAGAAGATTCCACCTAAACATTAGGAAGAACTTCCTGACAGTAAGAGCTGTTCGACAGTGGAATTTGCTGCCAAGGAGTGTGGTGGAGTCTCCTTCTTTGGAGGTCTTTAAGCAGAGGCTTGACAACCATATGTCAGGAGTGCTCTGATGGTGTTTCCTGCTTGGCAGGGGGTTGGACTCGATGGCCCTTGTGGTCTCTTCCAACTCTATGATTCTATGATTCTATAAGCCGCAATTGATTGAGTTGCAATTCAGCAACCCATGGAGAGCTGGGCGTTCCCCACACCTGGCATAGGTGGGGGCTTCATCCATCGGACTGTCATGTCCTACTCTTGAATTGTACATGATATGGGATCATTTGATTTTTCTTTTCCTTTCCCTGCCTCCACATGGGTGGCAGATTATGAATTACAAACAATTCACTAGACTGCCATTGCTTATCCAAGTGAATTTGCAAAAAGAAACCAAAAGAAAACTGCTCCCACATGCCTCATCGATAGCACCCCCAGGGTCCTGCTCCCAGGCCAATGCAAAACTCAGTTTGCTACCAACTTTGTGTTCAACAAGCTTTCTATAGATTTGTGAGACCATGCCTCTAGCACACTCTGTACCTAAGATTATAAACTGTTCCCACATTGATCACACTGGCCTTTATAACTTGGTTTCCAATTCAGGAATCATCCCATCTTTTACAACAAAAACAGGCTGCATGAGATCATGAAGGGAACTGGAGGGGTGATGGCTCTGGGGCTAACAGTACCGCCCTGGATATCCACACCTTAAACATAGTTATAGTAAATCTCAATTTAAGTTTCTTTAATTTTATTACCTGCCATGGTTCCACATTCTGAAATGCCATTTTTCGTCCTTCTTCCAATCTTCTATACATGGATTTGAACTGGAATATAGCATTCAGAGCATGTGCCACAGCATAGATAGCATTGTAGACATTGTAGCTGTGGCCAGTCATTTTCATTTCAAACAAACCTCCAGGAAGACTCTCCAGATTCTCTTCCCCAGTGCAGGTTTTATTCTCCTCTCCTTCCCACTCCTTGGACGTTGTTAGCAAACAGTCAAAAGCCTGTTCCCAGAAGTCTTGAATAAAGCCATCTCTTTTGAACCACGAAGGTCTTACCATCTGAAGGAACTTTTGGAAACCCTCAGGCTGATTTGAGTGAACTGTGAAAGATATGGTACCATGGAAGGTTTGTAAATCCCAAATCTTTTGCATAGAGTGTGATGCAAAATCCCAGTGAGATGTAACAATCCAGACTTTTCCAAGAGGTGGCAATTCCATGAATGGTGCTGCAAAGAACAACATTCTCAAAGCCTGAAAGGATGGAGGTTCTCCATATACAAAAAACACATTGGCTTTCTCCTTGAAGACAGTTAAATAGTATTCTATACGTTGTGAAACATATTCTATAATCTCATCCACATAATTCCATTTTGGTATTCTTATGATGAAGGCATAACAGATGCCATTTTCATCAAGCATTGGGGCCATTGTCTGCAAAAACTGGTCCCCTTTGTCATCATCCACAGCACCAAGCCCAATCCATGTCCATCCAAAATGTTTGAGTAACTGCACAACTCCGATGTGCTGTTGGGCTTCATTTGGGACCATCTGGTACAAAAAGGGGAATAAAGTGTTGGCATGTTGTATTGGCAAAAATGATCCATAAGTGAGCTGAAATAAAATGCATAAATATTACTCAAACGAGAATGTTCAATGAATCTATTCCAGTCGACTTGGATGCCATTTTATCTGTGGAATATCAGAATAACACCCTCTGCAAGTAATTGCATTACTAGGTTTAAGTACTCTTACTCCCAATACTAGTGCTTATTTCTGGGAGTGTAGAAAAGGGGGTCTCTGCTATGAAGTATTTAAATGTGTTGCTTCAGGTCGGTCATATGCTGCCTTCATCTGCAACAGAGGATCTTACAGGAATCCAGAATCATGTCAAAGGGGTGGATCCAGGGCTGGATTTAGGGTTTTGTGAGCAGTGGGTGCTGAGAAAAGGTGGCGCCATTTTAAAGATTTTGTCAGGGTCCTAGAGTCCCCATCCTTCTTCCCTGCTTTCCCTGCTTTGGGGAGGAGGTGGGTGGGCTCCAGGACCCTCCCAGAGCCCTTATTCCTCCTTCCTAAAGCTTGACTTCTCCTTACCAACCGGGGGGGGGGGCACACCAAATTACCCAAGTCCGCCACTGCTCGCAGCTGGTATATCAACAGTGATCTTGACTCTACTGCCAACCTTCAGCCTATTAAGCTGAAAATGTTGAGCACTAACTCAAAAATGCTGTCACTGAGTTGGACTTTAATGCGAATCACCCAGAAAACATAAGGAATTTACATCCTAATTGTTAAAAGCTACAAGAATGTTATTGGCTCAAAATGGAAATATTACTTTGTTCTGTCCCTAGAAAGAATGCTTAATAAAGATTCAGATTTGACTAAAATGCAAACGGCAACATTTTATTTAAGAGTGCAAATGGCAAGTAAATATATAAATGAATTGTAGGGAAACTAGTGGCTAACAACAACAACAACAACAATTTTATTATTTATACCCTGCCCATCCAACCAGCCAAGAAAATAATTATCTCCTGCTAAGCAAATTCGATTAACTTTTCATTTTTTATAGGGTATGGGTTAATTTTATGTTAATCTTCATTTACTTGCATGATATTATGATGTGGAGTTTTGTTGATTATAGATAATAATTGTGAAACAATTAAAGAAAAGGGGGCTTTTTGTGCGCATTCTGTAAATCCGTTGTTTAATGCCAATGGAGGACACAGGGTATTTACAAATCATCACCTAAATATGCCAGGCAGACCACAGAGAGCTGGTACACATTCAGGCTCATGCAAGTAAGGTGTCAGATTGCTTTGTGTGCAAACATGCAAGCTTGATCCCAGCTCCCTCTTCTCACTTTTAACACATTTTGTCACCATCCCGATCTGCCACCCTCAGTCTTCAGGGGGAATCAGGGGTGAAAGCAGGACTTTCAGATTGTGAGAGAGGCTATGAGGGAGATCAGGAGAGTCCTATATGTTAAAAGGCACTTCAGGTGGCCTTGGGACAGGACTGGTTCCTCCAGATCCTCGGTGCTTCTGATCTCCTCTACAGGCCCCACATCTTTCCCTCTGAGGATGTCGCCCCATTGTCTATGTCAGACAATGTTCATAGCATACAGCTCCCAACTAGAGATCAAAGTCATGGATGAAAAGGTTGAACAGGATCCAGGAAAGAACAAAGCTCTGCTTAAAACTTGTTGATCCACACAGTTTGCCAATGAACTGTCGATAAACCTGCATTTATCCAAAGGATGACAGGAAATTTTTCTGAAATCATGATGATCCCACCATGATGGGAGCATATTCACCCAGTGCTTTTCAAGCTGCACTGGCTCCCGGTGGAGTACAGGGTCAGGTTCAAGGTGCTGCTTTTGACCTTTAAAGCCCTTCACGGCCTAGGACCCTCGTACCTACAGGACCGCCTCTCCTGGTATGCCCTACGGAGAGCCTCAAGGTCCATAAATAACAACACCCTAGTGGTCCCGGGCCCTAAGGAAGTTAGGTTGGCTTCAACCAGAGCCAGGGCCTTTTCAACACTGGCTCCGGCCTGGTAGAATGCTCTGTCTCATGAGACCAGGGCCCTGCAGGATCTGATTTATTTCCGCAGGGCCTGTAAGACAGAGTTGTTCCGCCTGGCCTTTGGCTTGGAGCCAATTTGATTCCCTCCCTCCCTCCCTCTCTTTCTTTTTCCTTTCCTTCTCCTCCTGCGATGAGGCTACATTTTAATATTTTAATGTTTCAACATTTTAATGTTGTATTTTAATTTTGTTTTTAAGTTGTAATCATTCAACTTGTTTTTATTATTGCTTGTAAGCCGCTCTGAGCCCAGCCTTGGCTGGGGAGGGCGGGGTATAAATAAAAAAATATTATTATTATTATTATTATTATTATTATTATTATTATTATTATTATTCTCCTCTCAGAAACAGGCTTACCTGTGGAGTCTTGTACATTGCTGAAATGACGGCCACATTCGCAGAGATTTCGGAGATGCATCCTCCGATCAGAGCTATCACTTTCTTCTGGTTGTGACCCTGGAAGTTGGGGACAAACCTCCCTTGTGCAGAAAAGAGGCTGAGGCTGGCCTTATAGGTCATCCTGGCAGTGTAGTAGCTGTTGAGGATGTGAAATCCCAGAGAGACGTTGGATAAAATGTCGGGGTTTTCATTGATCTCTTGGACAGCAAATGCCAAGGCCAGGATGTGCTGGTAGTTCTTTGGCACCGAACTGTCATGGAAACTACAGATGTTATAGCTGTTGACAAAGAACAGTAACAGAAGCAACCAAAGGACATCCATACTCTTCTTCTCTAATCTGCTTGTTTCCAAGATTGACTTGCAGTTTGAACCTCAGTTGAGTCATTCCCTTTGCCAATCAACTGAGTATAAAAGTAAGATTTTCTTTGCATGTTCTCATAAGGTACATAAAATATTTTGTTTAGTTTTAATCTTATTTCTTCTGGATCAGTATGTTTATTCATTATTAGTTATTAAATGTATAACCTACCTTTTCTCCCTGAGTTTTATATACCTAACCTTTCTCCCAGTTTCTTTCATTATTCATCTTGCTAATCAGCCACATGATTACAATTTTCATCCTTTTACTGGCATTTCCCAAAATCACTTTAATTCCTATTTATTCTATTTATTATTGTTTTAACTCATTGCACCATTAACCTAGCACAGTTTCCCCTTAAATTCGTGCATAGAGAGAACCTATGTGATTCCTCTATCCTAACTTTTCTCATGCCACTATGGGCACACACTTTCATTATTTCCTTCCTCAGTTCCAGTTTAGGACTGTGTTTCAGGGATGATGTGTTTCCTAGTATTTTAAAAGGAAACTCTAAGAAGAGAAGTAATATAGAATCAGACCCTTTTGCCAACTCTCCGCTGACAATCTTGTTACTTCATTCTATACAGAGGGGTCCAGACTATATTTCCAAATGCATCTTAGCCAACACATTCTCTCATCATATTTGATTGCTGGTTCATCTCCAGTGTACTGTACTTAAAGCAATAAAATATTTGACAGCGGGAGGGAATAACTAGCTTTAATATCACCCAGATTTAGTCATGCTTCCTCACTCCTGTAGCTATTCTGTGCAAGGCTGGTGGAAGTGCTCTTGTGGGACTCGGCCACATTGAGATTTGTTGTGTGGCAGAGACTATCACAGGCAATGGGTAGCAAAGCAAAAACGCTTTATTCTTATGCAAGAATGGTGGCTCATCCATCTCATGGCGCAGACAAGAGACTACGGGGGCTGCAGGTTACACATATGGTTTTATACTGTCACATATGCAGCTTGATGACCTGTTTGCTCCCAGCTTGACTCGCCTTTATGTAGTGGCTAACCTTAACCTTTGATAAGCCGCCTTCATTATGCATTGGGGGGGGGGATTTCCACTGCCCCTTTGTTCCCTCTATTATTTCTGGTTTTGCTCATTTCTCTTGAGCAGAGTGCCTCAATTTCCCAGCACAAACACCAACCTAATTCCAATACAGTGCACAACTTCCATACATTTCAAGAACACTTTTGAGAAAAAACTATGAATGCTTTCTGCCACCAATATGCTGTAGGGGCCACTTTTCTCACTCCAGAAATGAACAAACACAATTGTTCCTTAAATATAAGTTTTCAGTAACTATACTTGGAACTTATTAAATAAGCAGCATGAGTGAGAGGGAGAGATGGTGCCTTACATGGGCTCATTAATCACAATCTGTGTCGGCTGTTTCAGGAAAGAGAGGAGATTATGGAGGAAGAAGACCTGAGAAACAATTTCTCCAATGACCAGGTCTCCAGGATGGTAAAATTCATGAGGGATCGGGAGGGGATCATCTTGTATGCTACAATTAACGGAATGTTTCTGGCCCACAACATGACACAGCAATACAAGCAGAAGCACCGCAACCAGCATGATTCTGTTGGAAGAACAGAGCCATGAAACGCAGCCTCCCATCTTTGCCTCTGCAGCATCACATACCACGTTCATCAGGATTGACCTCAACAACATCTAAAATAATTCTTTTTGTTTTAAAAATCCTCATACAGAGCAACAGTTATCACAGCACTGGTGTATATAGAGGGGGAAATGGTGCAACCTTGCAAATCAGTTTGTCCAAAAGAAAGGGAGGTCAGTTAGGATGAAGCAGTTAGCTTGGATATGTGTGTTAATTAAGAGCCATAGAATGAGGTCCAATTTTCCAGTGGCCAAAGACGAATGCCCTAACAAACAGAGGGGAAATGATCATAACAGGAATGATACAGAGTCCTGCCTAGACCCAAATCTAGTTCTAAATAATGTGAGATCTTTATAACTTCAGATGGTGATTGTTGATGTAGCTGAAGAGCTCTGGAAGCACTTTGTGTTTTTCAGAGCGAAAACCAGCAATTCTGCTAATGATGGGGAGGATTATCTGTTCCCCAGGGTGTTCCTTGCTTTGGAAGTTGCATCATGCACGATGAACCTGTGAGGAGTCATCCTCCCAACTTGGAATCCTACGAATCTTATTATTTCTTTTGAAGAGTAATTAACAGGAGGTGGCACTTAACTCAGTAGGTCCAAACTTCACCTGCCCAGAGGAAATAATAATA